GGGAGAAATAGTAGGCCTACATGAGGTATAACAGGTATAACTTTCCCCATCAGAGCAAGGTTGGGTTGTTTTTTAAATTGATTGGGTTTTTTTTGTTTGTTAGTTTGTTTGTTGTTGTTATTATTGTTGTTTTTTTGTTTGTTTGTTTTTCTAGATTTGACAGTTGAAGAGCTATGAATCTAATAGCTATGTATGCCTATGTTAAAACTTTGATTAAATTCTCCTTCTTCTTTGTTCTCGTGTTGAATATTTTCTAGCGCCAGCTAGAGTAATTTTTAAAAGCCCCCCCCATAGACCAATTAATTGGAAGACCTCTTATGGTAGACTAAAGTTGAACATGTCCTCATAATAGGCTACAATTTATGCTTTAAATAATTTGGAAGCTATGGCCGCTGGGATAGAAAAAAAGTAGATCGATGACAGATAAACTGTAAAACCATCCCTATGTGAGAGCCAAACGCACATACATGCACATGCTGTATAATGTCATTTTAGAGACAACCCTTAATTATCCATTTAAAAAAATGTATCGTCCTGATCTCTCCTCCTTTTTGTGCATTGTTACTGTCTTGTTTAAACACCTCTAACACTGGCACTTATATGACCAGAGTGCGTTGCAAGTGCCGTAAAACTCTTTCTAAAACTAAAGAGATTATAATTTAAAAGTAAATCCATTAACTTGGACTTGGTCACACCACAAGATGGGGAAAAAAGGGGGGGGGGGGGTATATGGTTTTGGTCAGCTACAGTATCAGTTTTACTAGCTCACGGGAAACATCATGAATGGCATATCCTATTGTTTTGTTTAATTATATTTATATTTTTTTAAAAGTATTGAGTTAAACGCCCTTTCAGACACAAAAAGATAATTTCAAAGAACAATAAATCCGCCTTGTGCATATATATTTAGGCCTAGGCTTTTGTTCGAGCCCCAGCGTGTTGTCTTGAGCGCGGGCCACTGAAATGAACAAAACGTGCTTCACTTTTGAAAAAGCGGCTCTAGCTAGAGAAACAACAAAGAACAAGTATAAGCTGAAGGTACTTGTAGGCTTTCTTTTCATGCGTCGCGCGTATCGGAGTGTTAAACTAAATTTTAATTGTGTAGGCCTAAGTTTAAGCGCTGTTTTACACAATTAGAGAAACAGATTCAGACCACAGAGATGAGATGTTACCGCAGACACCTTGACATCTCGTACGAAGACCACGTTTCAAATGCTAATGTACGAAAGAGAATCACCAACGCAGTGTGGCAGTATGAAGATCTACTGACCACAGTGAAGAGACGAAAATTAAAATGGGATGGGCATGTCACAAGACCCACTGGACTTGCCAAAACAACCCTGCAAAGGAACGTACAAGGAAAGAGAAGAGAAGGAGATGGGAGGACAACATTGCAGAGTGGACAGGAAAGACGATGGGTGACAATCTGAGGAAAGCAGAGGACAAAATAGATTGCGAGAGCTGGTTTTCAGATGCAGTGGTGCCCCCACGGTTGCCCCAACCACGGGATAGAAGAAGAAGAAGAAGAAGAAGAAGAAGAAGAAGAAGAAGAAGAAGAAGAAGAAAACAAACAGCTCTAATCCATAACATCGGTGTGGTCAACACCTTGCCTCCGTACTCCAACCCCACCCTCCCCCCAAAAATGATTCCGACAGAATATTGACAAACACCATAGTATGGACACTTAAATTTTGTCTCGTTAAGTTACCCGGTCTGGTCACTAAAGTCTCCTCTAGCTTACTGCACCCTTGGTCCCTCACACAGTATTACATATTGTATATTATTTTGCCTCCTGCCAACCTGCACTTGTTGTTCGCCCCTCCAACCCCTCGCCATGTTCATGCTCACTAAATAGATCTCTCGTTCTCGCAGTATTAGCCCCCGCCTCCCCGCCCCTTATCCACCTTTTAAAATCACAGTGGTTCCTGAATTATGCACTCTCACTGCTCTCTTTATATCTGCGAACTAACCAATGGAGAGGGAAACACGTGTGATCTTTTGAGACGAAATTGCATCGAAGAAAGAAAAGATAGTGCGGGTGCGGAATGTAACGGTTTTATTTTTAATTATTAAGGGGGGGGGGGGGGGGGCTACACCTGGAGACTATCTCGCTTATTACTGGACCAAATTTTACCAAATTTCACACATATAACAAGCATAGTAAAGAGTCTTAAAATCCGCAATCAAATTTGAGAAAAAAGTTTTGTTTCCATGGATACACCGCCCTATTGGATTTTATTGACATGTCTTACGTATAATGAATACCGCACTTATCGCTCATGGAAATTGATTGTTTTTTGCATGCGTGTTCACAAACATTAGATCTAAAAATTTGTCTTTTTAAAAAATCCTTAACGAATTAGAAAAATTTTAATTAATTTTTTCCTGAGGTAGCATTCAAGTTTGCGAAAAATCCGTGAAAATCCACACTCCAGACACCACCAACAAAAATCTATTCCATATATCAAAAATTCAACTCTCTTTTCTTCACTCTGTGAAAATTTCCTGAAGATTGGATGGTAGTTTCATAATGGTTTAAAAACTTATTTGAATAAAGTCTGACGGTTAGCAGCCTTGCATACGGATATTTGGAAAAGACATCTCTTCCATTAGAAATTCAATTGATTTTGACTCTACAAGAATAAGTCGATCATTATCAACATGAGCATAGGCTACTTATACCATACCAACGCACAAATCATTTGTGAGACAGCGTTGTGGAATCAGGCTCTCGTCAATTTTTGGGCATGTGGAGTTTTGGGTATTATCTTAAAGCTTGTTCACTTGTGTTCATTTGGAAGAAGAAATATCACTTCATCTTGAATACAAGTCGAGATATTTGCGAGAACGAGGTGGGGGTCACCTGTTTTCAAAGGTAAAATTAGTGAGAAAATGGCAACCAAAGATTATAAGTTATTTCCTTAGCTTAAGAGTCCGTGGTAACTAAAAATTTACATTTTTTGTGCCTTTAATCAACGTTTTTCTGAAAAATCCACACAGAAATGAGTTCTTTAATGGGCATGAAAGGTGATGAGCCCAAAAAAAATTCACAAACCAACAGAAAAAGAAGTTTGTTCACTTTGATTATTTTGACGAGAGCCTGATTCCACCACGCTGCCTCACATTTTATTACAAACACGAATTGACAGGCCTTCTAAGGAACGTTGATTTCCCATCAACTATTTATGATTATAAAAACTCAAATTATAGGCCTACGTATGGTTCTTAAAACGCATTTTTGTTTCTGGCCAGCTTTGATGTGTAACGACCAACATGCCATATGGTCGCTTTTAATTTAAGTACAAGGGGGCTATCCCGAAAAATGCTGTTTTGAGAAAATTGAAGATAAAGTTTTTGCCCCTTGTTCAGTTTCTTTAAAAGACAAGGAGAGTTTTCTCTATAACCAAACAAAAATATATATACACCAATGAAACCAAACTCCTCCTATAGGTAGGGCAATATCCACTTTTGGTGTAGATCAATATTTCTGAAAACCCCCGAAATTTGTGTTAGCCCGCTTGTCCTTAAAAGCGACCACATGTTCTGTTACTTTTACATTTAGTAAATATATTTTTATTAAATTCATGCTGTTCCATAAAAAGTGGCTGAGTGCGTCATGTGTTGGTCATGTATTGGATGTGTGTGCAAATTTTTGTGGGATTGTCTGTTGTACTCAAGCATGCATTGGAGAGAGAGAGAGAGAGAGAGAGAGAGAGAGAGAGAGAGAGAGAGAGAGAGACAGAGAGAGAGACAGAGAGAGACAGAGAGAGAGACAGAGAGAGAGACAGAGAGAGAGAGACAGAGAGAGAGACAGAGAGAGAGACAGAGAGAGAGACAGAGAGAGACAGAGAGAGAGACAGAGAGAGAGACAGAGAGAGAGAGAGAGAGAGAGAGCAAAAGAATCACTATTCTATTCTATTCTATTGCTACATGATTTTGGGCGCACATGTTATTTATTGTAAAGCACTTTGTCATTGTGCACTTTCTTTGCGGAAAAAATACACTTTTACATGAAATTTATTATCATAATATTTCCGTTATAATTTATTGTTATTATTATTTTTTTAAATTACTACAATAAAAATTAAAAAATATAGTGACCCTGTTAGTACCGTACGTAATATATGTACCCAAGTTGACCTCATGACAAGATAAAAGCACAGTCAAAGCAGACGGCATCCTGTCTAAATTGTGTCTACACATTATGTTAAAAACATAAACAAAATAAGAGGAAAATTTATTGTTTGAAAAATAAAACACACTCACAGAACATTCGGAACAATGTTTTATTTGATCTCTAAAATAAAGCAGTTGTAACTCATTCATAAAAATAATAAATAAAAAAATGCATAAAGGAATTTCTGAAAACATCAGGTATTCAGCCATCATCCCTATCCCTACCTTGGCTATTCCATTTGATTTGTACAAGATTAGACAAGAACAGATGTCCATTGGCTAAATGGATCTAATCTGCATGATGAGGTCGGAGCCTGTTAGGAAATGCAGTTGGCCAGTAAATGCAATAAAAGGATACAAAAAGATCTTTGCTTTATGTTATCAGTTTGACCAGGGAAATCATCAGGGCTGCATTACAGGAACTGACAAAATATCTGACTACTCAATGTCATGCCACACATACTGGTACTGGTAACCTTCTGATCGAGCAGTCGTTGGCTATGATTCAAATGGACCCGATCATGACCTAGAAAATAAAACTCATAAATTGACATTGAAGGATTTAATTAGACTGAGCCAAAAATGTAGCTTTTGCACCTAAGCAAAGGAAAATCTGGCTGTTCTCAAAATTATCAAACCAATAGTAAATTGTGATTTGATGAAACTTTCATCCATGTGTACTGGGAGTAAAATAAGGACATTTCAAACTCGTCAATAAGAAAAAATCTTTCTTCTACATAATCAACCCTGACGTTTTTATCCTTTTAAAAGAACAAGACAAAACTAAAAACAAAATATTCAAGCACAATGTTCACACACGGCCATGAGGTAATGTGCGAAATGGCTTGGAAATTGAAAATATGAATGTCTTGAAATGTTTTGGCTCAAAGAAGACACTGGAAAATCTTTAATGCAAGAAATGGGAACAAACAAACCATAGGCCTACAGTCAACAAAACCTACCTCTCTTTTATTATCAAGGAATAATCAAAGAATGTGCTGTGCTCAGCATGATAATATTTAATCAAATACTTTGTCCCAAACTCCTATTGAGAGATTTTTAAATGAGGTGCAGTGGAAAAGACCACATAATTATCTTCCTAAGTATGGACAAGTACAGTAGTGATTATACATTGAGATTTGACACATATTTAAGATTAAAAATCGCTCTCAAAAGCTCTGACAGCATGGAAACAGTAACGGTGAAAATTTTTACAACAAGAAACACATGACTGTTGCCTGATAGTCCTGAATGTGTCCAGAATAAAGCTGAATTTTCATTTGTTTGCGAGTCAAATAACAGCAGAGAATAACAATGTTACCAAAGCTGTTGAACAATGTATGAAAAAAAGGTAACAATAATGAAGGAGAAAGAATGGTGTGTTAGCAATAACCCCCTCCCACCTCCACTTATTTAATACCTTACTAGTAGTTAGCAACCACATACATCAGACACTAAGACAATACATTGTGCTCTTAATTGATCTGTCTATTTATAATGTAACATTACTAATATAGCCAGACAAGGTACAAAGATGTATTGTATCAAAGCATCATTGTGAAATTGATTCTGCAAAGGCCTTTCTTTCACTATCTCATGTAATGTTGAGGAAGTAAAGGTTGGGCCCCACTGCCATTGTGTTCAGGGCTTTCATCATATCTAGCAGAAGCTTGGGTTCTGTCTTCTGATCCAAGGAAGTCTGGCCTGTGAACAAAAGGCAGCAAGGTCATAGTCATATGAGCAATTACAATCCGAGGGGGATAAACCCACTATGCCAGGACCCTCTTTTGGTGCAAAATCTAAAAGTGACACTAAATTGTTCATTAAATCAGAAAAATTAACCTCTTTTGATAGTTCTTCATCTTATGAAAGAACTTTTGGTAAAAGAGATCTGCTAACTCGGAAAGTGGTTCTGAGCGTGAGCCGCTGGGAGCAGCTTGTTGCTGACAGGAGTTGAATTATTGTTACAGAGATACATGAATCAACCAGTCTGAACTCTATGGTCGAAGACAGAATCTACTCCAGTAGAAAAACCTACAGAGCCTATAAGTAGTCTGTTCTCTCCCACAAGGATTAAAGACAGTCTAAGACTTAAGTTTAACAAACAAAATACTAGTACTTCACCCCAGGTTTGTGAAATTAAAAAATAATAAGAACAAATTACAAGTAGTTTTTTTATGCAAAATGTTATGATAAAATGTAAATCAAATGCAGGAACTAGCATGAAGCAATAACAATTTCTAAAAGACAACAAACAAACAACATTTGTAATATGGTCATATGAGCTGATAAAAGAATAAAACTATAGACATATGAATTGATTCTGAGATGAAAAGAAATTTATTTAAGAGCCGTGAACTATAGAGAGCAGGAGAGAAGGGATGAAGGATATAAAAAAAGAATACTTGTTGCATAACATACCCAAGAAATACATCATCTGGGAGTGTGCTGTAAGGGGGAGGTGGTGGTGGTGCAGGCTGGTCTGAGTATCTATTCTGACGTGACCTGCTGGAAAAAAAAGCAAGCAGGGGAACTTTTGAAAATGGCTCTAACAGTGCCTCTAAAATGGCAGCTTGAACTGAACGCTTCGTAGGAAGCTGAGAATGTTTTGGAATGTTATGAGGGTATCCCAGGGTAATAATGAAATTGCAAAGTGCATGTGCTTTATATGCATACAATCTGTTATTACTAAACCTAGAATAAATTATTACTATTATTTCTTGGTGTATCATGTGTAATTTCTGAGTGAAGTCTGCAATTATGTATTTTGTCACATCAGTTAACTGAATGGGAGTTCTAGGGAAAGTCAAGAACAATGAGCAGTTCTGTATGGAGTTCAAGTTTCATTAAATAATATTGTTTGAAACATAGCCTCAGTGAGCTAAATGGCAATACAACATCCTTCCCTGTAATCTCTTTCATCGTAAACTGAAAGCTGGTCATGAAAATCAATGTACTGTAAAGTTCAGTTCACTGTAGAGCTTTTCAAAGAAATCTTTATGCTCACATAATATCTCTGCGGCAGAAAAACATCTGAGATTGAACTAATTGATTTTGACAGGATCGGATTGTTAGCAATCAGCGGGAGAGTAAATTTTCCAGTAGTTATTTTCAAACAAAAAGGGATAGGGCGAGCGAGAGGTTTTACATTTAAACAAGTGTGTAACATGGTTGACTTGAAACCACATATTCCTCAAAGTGAGACATCAGACCCTTTTGTCTCTTTATTGTCGCTGTGCTCATTTAAACAAAACTAGAACAAAACATGGATGACTTGAGAAAAGGTTTCTAGTTCCTTTGGCTAGCAAGACAAACCCATCATCAGGTATAGGCAGGAAAAGAAAGCTGCTCTGGCCATTATAAAGTAAACAGGTAGAAGGTAGTGGTCACAGGACAAGAAATGAGTAAGACTTAAAGCATAACCTGAAAAACTATGTCAGAATAGCTCCTGAGCATTGCGATTAAGTTTCAGGAGAAGAGCTCATAATTCATCCGAATGGTTTGGAGAGCAGATCACGCTGCATAGATAATTTTATCTATGATCACATGTTTCTTGGTACAGCACTCCGCTCCCAGTTAAAATCCTTCAAAGACACTGACATGTGATCATGAGTAACAGGCTTTGGACTTCAGAGATAAAAAGTAGATCTATAGCACTTCGTTGCATTAGAGAAAAGCATGTTTCTTTAACAGTGACATCCTGAACCAGGTAACTCCCCTAATGAGTTCAAGATATCTTTACTGAACTGTAAGTTTGAAACAAATTTAAATATCAGTTTGAACTACTAAACCTTACGAGTACCTCAAAGCCCAAAATATGTAATAGTGTGGGGCAGATACTTGCCTATTAGAGCAACAGCAGAAAGTAGCCCCCCCAAAAAACATGTATAAAATTAAAATACTCATGATAACAAAGTAGTTCATTTACCGCCACATTCCATTTTCATCCTCAGTAGTTGAAGAATAGGCTGGGGGTTCTGCAGAGTTGTCTCTCTCAGCGTGTCCTCTCCGGTGCTGTCTGTGCATACAGAGTGGAACAATGATGGCAAATTACGATATTGTCATAAAAGAAACAAAACATATTTTCTCTGTTGGTCAATTATGCCCATTTACGTAAAAGGTTAATATGAAAGAAGGAAAACTGAGCTGGAGTTTTCAGTTGTAAACTTGATTCTATACTATTTGTGTCTGGACTCAAATTAGTAGCAAACTTAGCTCTGTCATTTGCTTGCAAAATGAAGTCAACCCTTAGTTTCAACAACTTTTACAATTTAAAAAATTCGATATCAGCCTCGTACTGTGAGTTCAGTATTATTTGTAGAGTTTTAAATGCAAAAGAAAATACTGAAGGTGACAATGAGTTGCAGGTTAATTATTCATCTTCTAAATAACATAAATGTTTTCGTGAGCTTTAGTATATATATTATATTTACTACTTATTCTATTCACTAAAAATATTTTTGGTGAAGCAGTAATTTATCCAAGTGTCTGTCAGAAAAAACTGTGTTTTAGTCTGCTGACATGGTTTACTGAAGCTTTCACACATTAATTTTTCTACTTCTTGAAACATTCGGAGAACAAGTAAATGCCTTCACCTTTGCAAAGTGCCAGGTGCAGAATGGCAAGAATCTCTTGTTCGTGGTTGACGTCGATATGACCTGTCCAAGGTCACAGAACCTGCCCGGCTGCCTAACAGTGCTGTTTCTCGGTTGTGTGACATTTGTCGAACAGTGGCTGATGCACGCCGGATAGAGTTATAGGTATCCATTTGGATGTCACTGGAAGTATGAGGGGGGGGGGGGGGGGGGGCAGGAGGGGGTGAGAAAAAGATTAGAATGTCATTCTTACAGTTTCCTTACACTAACACTTTATCTTTTCATTCTCCCATCTAGTGTACAAAAAGGAAGATGCTGAGGAAAAGAGCTAAGGTAAGGACATTTTGTCACAATCACAATCCATGAAGTCTTCTCTGCAATCCCAATTTAAGAAAAAAAGGTTAAGTGTCTGATCATAATTATTCTTTGTATCTCTACTGAGCTTGTACTGTTTACTTCAATTGTGATATCTTGGAATCTTCAGTGAGTTTTTGTATCACTTTGTATGGGAAAAAAACTTCTGCCCTTTGCCACGGAGATCTTGGAGAAGATTTTTAAAATTTCCTTTTTTATTTTAAGTTTCACTCATAGGCCCAACATAATGTGGTTGTGAGGAACATATAACTGTCTCCAAATATATACTTTTATTCCACAATCATGTTTTGATAACTCAGATACCAGACAGTAGCTAAAAGTCAGACTTGAGTCTTGTAAGACTTCTATATAGCTTCAAACTTCTTTCCCCAAAGCTTCAGTTTAAGTCTAAAAGCAATATTTTTTCATTTCAATAACCACTTACTTTGCATCTCCTGAAAATGAGGAATACTTCCCACAGGCACTGAAAAAGATACAAGGAAAAAACACAGTATAGTCATATTCACAAGACTTAGAATCAATCATTCTTCTGGAAACAAAATAAGAGGTACAAAAAATCATGTATCATAACTTTTTTAGCCACCAGTTCAGAATTTCTCTTTTGAAAAATCCAAAAGTGGCAGAATGAATCAACATATCTGCTTTCAAGCAAAACAGAAACTAGATCTAGTACACATTCATTAACAAGTCACCTTTGACGTTGACTTTATCAAAAGAAGCAAAGACTTACTTAATGAGATAAAAATGTCAAATAATTTAAATAATATTCAAAAAAGTACCTATACAAAACAGCAAGTTGGGAACATCTTAGGATAAATAAAATTCATGAAAAGAATACAATTTAAGTAAACGGGGGGGGGGGGGGGGGTTCATGCACATTCAGATCAAAGCATATTTTGATGAGAGAGAGTATTCCTAGCAAACAATGCACCGTCTCTCAGATAAGCACAAAGGGGTAGAGTTGTATGATGTGCTCCGATCTTGTTGACCTCAAGTGTTTACACACATGTGTATATATGTATATATCATCACTCTTACCTTCACCTGAAAGGGGAGTGAAAATAACATTACTTGTCAAAATTCAGAGATGATGAACACACAAGCAATGTGAAGCCAAAGCAAGTTTGTGAAAAAGTGTAGTGAAAGAAACATCTTCTCCAGTATGAAAAATGTGCACAAGTGCAGACACATAAAATGTCTACGCATGAGGCAATGCTATCAGAAATGTAGTAGCAATGTCAAGACCCGTAGAAAAGGAATCCATGCAAGCAAAGGCACACGCCACTCACCATGATTTGCTGCAGCACATGATCCGAGAGAGGATTATCAGAATCAACAGGAGCACAGCACCTGGTATGGCCACACAGTACACAAACTCCCAAAGCTCTGTGCCGCAGCGCTCCTCACCACACTCATTGGGAGGCCGGTACAATTTGATGGCTTCAGATCGAGAAGTCATGCTAAGGGAGAAACATATATATACATCAGTTTCTTCATTAAAATTAAAGCATAGAGGGCATCTTTGGTCCTTGGCATGGTCTATACTCATTCATGATACCCTGCAGTATTTTTGGCTATTGTGCTAAACCTGAATAACTTAAACTTGACAAAGTGTAGTTTTTATCATCATGTGTATACATGTGATGTCAAAGGTCGAGCACTGGGCCTGGGGACATCAAGTACAAGACACTGAGTTGACTGAGTTTTTTAAGGAAAGAGTAGACTATGCATGACATAAATGAACATATGTATGTATATATTGAAAATCCATACTTCCAGGTGCAGGCCAAGCTTACGTCACAGTTGCTAGAACTCCGACTTGTTTGCTTGTTTGAGTCTAGTTGAGAAGCACATTGATAAAAAATGGTCAATTAGCGCTGAAAAAATAGTAAGACGGAAACAACAGAGAGAAAGTTAGGACCTTCTATCAGTACTAGTGGCATCCTCCAACTACCCGCAGAGCTCCAGCTAAATCCAAAATATAAACAAATATTACTTACCATAAATAGAGCAAAGTATTTAAAATTCAATGTCCCCTCATGGCATATATATTATGGCAATCTCAAAATGTATTTTTTGGCAACAGGATTCAGGGTGTTGGGAAATCTGAAAGGGCTCTGTTGCTGACAAAGTAGGCCTAATAATCCTAATATGTACGCTGATGAAAGAATCTTTCAACACAGGAAAGGACACATAGAATCTAGAGACAGCTAATGCACAGAGCTGACGAATAACAAGGTCTGAAGCCTGAAATGTGCCAGTAGAACAAAATTTTAAAGTTGTATTTTATAGAGCCAGGGGCCTATAATTTGGTAGTGGATGAGCAGGAGGATATCATGGTGATTGATTTTATGAAAAACTAGGCAGCGGTAGAGGCAAGCTTTTTACTTGAAGCTCTGATATATGAGTAGTAATTACCTCAGTATTTTCAAAATATACTCAGAGAGGCATACCTGACCGAGGCAATATTCCACAGGACAGTACTTGCACTACAAATCCAGAAAACAACCGGGATATATAACGTGTGTATTGCTTAGCGGCTAGACTTTTAAATGCTGAACCTTCTACAAGAAATTAGTCTGCTCTGGGCGCCCAATCTCTATCTTGATTTCCAATTGAAGCAATTTACACTAGTTCATTCATACTCATGTGAATTACGATTATTAGTGAATATAGAATCTAAATATTATCCTGTGTCTTCTACTGAAGGCCCTCGGTTTTATCTTTCCTCTCTTCACGTAGAACACACTTCCGGACCCCAGACTCACTCACACGGCACACCGCCGCCACAGACATCAGCGGTCAGGTAAGCCTGTACAGCGCTCTAGACTCGCTGGGGTAGCCCAGAGACCGTATCATTGGGGTAGCCTACAGAGTAGGCTTACAGGAGCAGCCTCACCAAAGGCCTCACTCCCTGGAAAACTGGCACCGACACTAAAAATAGAACAAGTTAGCCTCTGTGTTGAATGAACCCAGCCCAGACAGTTCGTTTGTTTGACCTATTTCTTGGTGCACGTGAGAGAGGAAGCTAATTTTAGCCAAAAGGCGCGCTTCTTTGTTGATGTTTTGAGCTGGTTGGAACCACAATGTTTACACAACTTCACAACAGGATCCGTCCTCTGCTTATAGATCTGGACATACTGCGTCTCTGCATCAGGATGTTATGGCCTATCACAATCTCTCCCAAAGTCTCCTAATTAGCGCTAGGCTAGTGGAAATAAGGTTTCAACGCGGAGACTTCAACGTTAAAAATACTGTCGAACCTGTCCAAGACGACCATTCATTGTGGAGGAGAAAAACGGTAATTTTAGACAGGTCGTCCTCTTGGGCAATGTCATCATAATACAGAACAAATTAATGCAAATGCGGAAGTGGGAAGTGGTCGCTTGTACATGCGTGACTGTCTTGTACAGGTGGTCGTTAAAGCAGGTTCGACTGAATTATGTCACAGCCTTTTGAAAACTGAGAACGTGTGTTCAAGAACGGATATTATGCTCCGGCCACAATAAATCTGTGACACACACACACACACACACACACACACACACACACACACACACACACACACACACACACACACACACACACACACAGAGGGAGAGAGATACACACACACAAACTCACACACACACACACACACACACACACTCACACACACATACAGATACATACGCACACACACACAGCACAGACATATGTGAAACAATGGGTATGCCAAATAGATTACTGTGGAGAGAATCCTGTTAGTATTGTCAATATATGACATAATTCATGTATTCCCATGTATGTCAAAGTTGTTAAATTGATTGGTCTCTATAATAATATAGTTCTTTGTTCGAACAATTGTGTGCCTTCTATGATCTCGGTTTTGCGAACTCACGCAACTCATGAAGCGGTAAATAATAATTTCATATGTGCTTCGTTTGAGAGCAATCTTCCTTTTTTTTCAATTTAACAAAAGTACTACGAAAATCAAAAGAAAAGATACTGAGATAGAGTTAGATCTGTTAATTTTTTAAAACTATTTAGGTTTTTAAGCTGACATTTATAGCCGGATATAAAAGTAAAATCTATGTCAATGAGATAATTTGGATCAAAGGTTTCGAAAGCTGGATATAAACAGATCTACTCAACTTAAACGATAAATGGTATACCGCATTCAAAGGCCCTAGGATCATTTCACTCTGAATAACTTTCACTAGACAGTGTGCGATAAACAGATTAGGTGATTGCAAGTACATGTAATTGATCATACTAATGATGAAGATAATAATAATAATAATAGAAATAAAAATGAAAAAATGAATGTACCCCCCCCCCCAGTTTTACCTCTTGTCACTCTAACTCTAAACTCGAATTGAGACCATTTGTAAGTTCCCCTAATTACTCCTTTACTTCTAGAATAGCGGTCAATTTTGTCTTCAATTATGCTATTATTTAAATGCCATTACACAGGAGAATAAACGTATCTTACTACTTGGATCACTTGTGGAATCACGTGGACAAACAATGCACAGGGTAGGACTACATAAAAAAACCCATATATGAGAATTAGCTTACTTTCAAAGAGGTTATAAATACTCCTTGGGTCATTTAACATTTCGGATACACGTGGACATTTATGTTAACATTTAAATACACATAGAAGATAATAATCTTGAAGATCTGACTCCTGGTAGCAATACAAAGCTAACGAATAGAATGCAGTTGCTTGAAAAGAGCGCAACTTCAGCGAATATATCGTTTCTGTAACATGGTTCTATTCATGATAACTATTTATAATTCCTCCACTTTGGCTGAACCCTCCCCCCAAAAAAAAACAACAACCCCAAACAAAAACAACAAGGTTTGGATTATATCTAAATATTATACTGGATTCTTTCCACCTTGAAGAATGATTTAGGAAAATTCCGCCCTGCACCTGTTGTGGGAAGATCATTAATTAGTCAAGTTTTTCCCCCTCGACTTGTGTAGTGCCGTATCTCCCGGAAATGCAAGATAAATGAGCGAGCGGACACATGGCACCAGGCCGGGGGAGCGCTGTGGCAACCCAGGGAACCGGAAACACGAGTTCTGGTAACTTACAAATTGTTCTTGCCACTGCCCACTGCCACGGCGGATTCCAAAGAAGTAGAATCTAGATCTACATCTAGAGGTAGGTTTTATATGCACAGAATAAACTTGTATTTTTACTGCATATGTAGCATACAACTGCAATTTCTAATTGTAATAACCCCAAGAAACTCGATCATTAATAATACAATAGTCGGAAAACAGGCAAATCATAAATGAGAGGATTCATAAAAGAGATTATGTGCAATATAGAGTATAGAGCTGAGTATAAAAAAGCTCTATCTCATGCTGTTGAAAGAAATGGTGACTGGACACTCATATCCGCCCCACCAAACCTTTTCACCCC